ACACACAGAGACACAGAGACACAGAGACACACAGAGACACACAGAGACACAGAGAGACACAGAGACACACAGAGACACACAGAGAGAGACACAGAGACACAGGGTGGGACATCAGCATCACCCAGGTGCTCGCGGAGACACACAGAGACACAGAGACACACAGAGAGACACAGAGAGACACAGAGAGACACAGAGAGACACAGATATACACAGAGAGACAGAGAGACACAGAGAGAGACAGAGACAGAGAGACAGAGAGACACAGGGTGGGACATCAGCATCACCCAGCTGCTCGTGGAGACACAGAGACACACAGAGACACAGAGACACAGAGAGACACAGAGACACACAGAGACACAGAGACACAGAGAGACACAAGGTGGGACATCAGCATCACCCAGCTGCTCGCACACAGAGAGACACAGAGAGACACACAGAGACACAGAGACACACAGAGACACAGAGAGACACAGGGAGACACACAGAGACACACAGAGACACAGAGACACAGGGAGACACAGAGACACAGAGAGACACAGGGTGGGACATCAGCATCACCCAGCTGTTCGCGGAGACAGAGAGACACACAGAGACACACAGAGACACAGATACACACAGAGAGACACAGAGACACACAGAGACACAGAGAGACACAGAGACACAGAGAGACACAGAGACACAGAGACACACAAAGACACACAGAGACACAGAGAGACACACAGAGACACACAGAGACACACAGAGACAGAGAGAGAGACACAGAGACACAGAGAGACACAGAGACACAGGGAGACACACAGAGATGCAGAGATACACAGAGACACAGATATACACAGAGACACAGAGAGACACACAGAGACACACAGAGACAGAGAGATACACAGAGAGACACAGAGAGACACACAGAGACACAGAGAGACACACAGAGACACAGAGACACAGAGACACACAGAGACACAGAGACACACAGAGAGACGCACAGAGACACAGACAGAGACACAGAGAGACACAGAGACAGAGAGACACACAGACACACAGAGAGACACAGAGACACAGAGAGACACAGAGACACACAGAGACACAGAGACACACAGAGACACACAGAGACACACAGAGACAGAGAGAGACACAGAGACACAAAGAAACACACAGAGAGACACAGAGAGACACAGAGACACAAAGAGACACACAGAGACACACAGAGAGACACACAGAGAGACACACAGAGAGACACAGAGAGACACACAGAGAGACACAGAGACACAGAGAGACACAGAGAGACACAGAGACACACAGAGACACAGAGACACACAGAGACACAGAGAGACACAGATACACAGAGAGACACACAGAGACACAGAGAGACACACAGAGACACACAGAGACACAGAGAGACACAGAGACACACAGAGACACAGAGAGACACACAGAGAGACACAGAGACACACAGAGACACAGAGAGACACAGAGACACACAGAGACACAGAGACACACAGAGACACAGAGAGACACAGATACACAGAGAGACACACAGAGACACAGAGAGACACACAGAGACACAGAGAGACACAGAGAGACACAGAGACACACAGAGACACAGAGACACACAGAGACACAGAGAGACACACAGAGACACAGAGACACAGGGAGACACACAGAGATGCAGAGATACACAGAGACACAGATATACACAGAGACACACAGAGACACACAGAGACAGAGAGATACACAGAGAGACACAGAGAGACACACAGAGACACAGAGAGACACACAGAGACACAGAGACACACAGAGACACAGAGACACACAAAGAGACACACAGAGACACAGACAGAGACACAGAGAGACACAGAGACACACAGAGACACAGGGTGGGACATCAGCATCACCCAGCTGCTCGTGGAGACACAGGGAGACACAAAGACACACAAAGACACAGAGAGACACAGAGAGACACAGAGACACAGAGAGACACAGAGACACAGAGAGACACAGAGACACAGAGAGACACACAGAGACACAGAGACAAAGAGACACACAGACACACAGAGAGACACAGAGACACAGAGACACAGAGACACAGAGAGACACAGAGACACAGAGAGACACAGAGACACAGAGAGACACACAGAGACACAGAGACAGAGAGACACACAGACACACAGAGAGACACAGAGACACAGAGACACAGAGACACACAGAGACACAGAGAGACACAAAGAGACACAGAGACACAGAGAGACACAGAGACACAGAGAGACACACAGAGACACAGAGACAGAGAGACACACAGACACACAGAGAGACACAGAGACACAGAGAGACACAGAGACACAGAGACACAGATACACACAGAGACACACAGAGACACACAGAGAGACACACAGAGACACAGAGACACACAGAGACACAGAGAGACACACAGAGACACACAGAGACACACAGAGACAGAGAGAGACACAGAGACACAAAGAGACACACAGAGAGACACAGAGAGACACAGAGACACAAAGAGACACACAGAGACACAGAGAGAGACACACAGAGAGACACACAGAGAGACACAGAGAGACACACAGAGAGACACAGAGACACAGAGAGACACATAGAGACACAGGGAGACACACAGAGACACACAGAGACACAGAGAGACACAGAGACACACAGAGACACAGAGACACACAGAGACACAGAGAGACACAGAGACACAGAGAGACACACAGAGACACAGAGAGACACACAGAGACACACAGAGACACAGAGAGACACAGAGAGACACAGAGACACAGAGACACAGAGAGACACACAGAGACAGAGACACACAGAGACACAGAGAGACACACAGAGACACAGAGAGACAGAGAGAGACACACAGAGACACACAGAGACAGAGAGAGACACACAGAGACACAGAGACACACAGAGACACACAGAGACAGAGAGAGACACACAGAGACACACAGAGACAGAGAGAGAGACACACAGAGACACACAGAGACACAGAGACACAGAGAGACACAGAGACACAGAGAGACACACAGAGACACAGAGACAGAGAGACACACAGACACACACAGAGACACAGAGACACAGAGACACACAGAGACACAGAGAGACACAAAGAGACACAGAGACACAGAGAGACACAGAGACACAGAGAGACACACAGAGACACAGAGACAGAGAGACACACAGACACACAGAGAGACACAGAGACACAGAGAGACACAGAGACACAGAGACACAGATACACACAGAGACACACAGAGACACACAGAGAGACACACAGAGACACAGAGACACACAGAGACACAGAGAGACACACAGAGACACACAGAGACACACAGAGACAGAGAGAGACACAGAGACACAAAGAGACACACAGAGAGACACAGAGAGACACAGAGACACAAAGAGACACACAGAGACACAGAGAGAGACACACAGAGAGACACACAGAGAGACACACAGAGAGACACAGAGACACAGAGAGACACATAGAGACACAGGGAGACACACAGAGACACACAGAGACACAGAGAGACACAGAGACACACAGAGACACAGAGACACACAGAGACACAGAGAGACACAGAGACACAGAGAGACACACAGAGACACAGAGAGACACACAGAGACACACAGAGACACAGAGAGACACAGAGAGACACAGAGACACAGAGACACAGAGAGACACACAGAGACAGAGACACACAGAGACACAGAGAGACACACAGAGACACAGAGAGACAGAGAGAGACACACAGAGACACACAGAGACAGAGAGAGACACACAGAGACACAGAGACACACAGAGACACACAGAGACAGAGAGAGACACACAGAGACACACAGAGACAGAGAGAGAGACACACAGAGACACACAGAGACACAGAGACACACAGAGACACAGAGACACACAGAGACACACAGAGAGACACAGGGAGACACACAGAGACACAGAGACACACAGAGACACACAGAGACACAGAGAGACACAGAGAAACACAGAGAGACACAGAGAGACACAGAGAGACACACAGAGGCACAGAGAGAGACACAGAGAGACACACAGAGACACAGAGAGAGACACACAAAGACACAGAGAGACACACAGAGACACAGAGAGACACAGAGACACAGAGAGACACACAGAGACACAGAGACACAGAGATACACAGAGACACAGAGATACACAGAGACACAGAGACACACAGAGACACAGAGAGACACAGAGACACAGAGACAGAGAGACACACAGAGACACAGAGAGACACACAGAGACACAGAGAGACACGCAGAGACACACAGAGACACAGAGAGACACAGAGAGACACAGAGAGAGACACAGAGAGAGAGAGACACAGAGAGAGACACACAGAGAAACACACAGAGACACAGAGACAGAGAGAGACACAGAGAGATACAGAGACACAGAGAGACAGAGAGAGAAAGACACAGAGAGACACAGAGAGAGACACGGAGAGACACAGAGAGAGACAGAGAGAGACAGATGAGATACAGAGAGACACAGAGAGACACAGAAAGAGAGAGACACAGATAGACAGAGAGAAAGAGAGAGACATTCTGCTGCCCGCTGAGACAGAGAGACAGAGAAGATACAGAGAGAGACAGAGAGACACAGAGATAGAGACAGAGACACACAGAGAGAGACAGAGGAGATCGTGATAGAGACACAGAGACACACAGAGAGACACACAGAGAGAGACACAGAGAGATGAAGTGGGAATCGCTGATGACGAAAATCTGAACCGGTCCTGAGCCTCCCCAAGGTCCACTCAAATGAATACTTGGTGTAGCGGTGAAGCGTAGTGAACATCGCCACTGGTGGAGAGACAAAGGCGGCCGGGGGTGGTGCTGGCCACCCACCCCCTCGTGTGCCACAGTGCCGGTAGCCTTCACAGGCGCTGCTACTCGCTACTAACAGCACTTGCCGCTACAGCCTGTTAGAGGCTACACGGGGGACCTTTGTCTTTGTG